TACAAATACATAAGTGTTGTAGATAATACCCTTATTTATTTCAGGCATCAAGCTGCTTTATTAGGACATAATAAGCATTGTGCTTATTACATTGCCAAGCACATAAATTTAAGCAAGGCGGTCAAAGTTGCTAGTAAAGATCAAATAAAGAAAACCAAACATCTTGTAAGAAAAGTTTAAGTATTCCTGATTGTTAAACTTTTTAGCACACACTAGTCTCCAAATGCAAACAACATTTTCTTAAGTACAAAATGGATAATTACCTTCCGGACAACTTTTGCAGCAGAAGCTACACCTCTGTCAATGAAATATCCCAAGAAAGTCGGATCAGCTACTCGAACCTGATTTCAATTTTTTAATTAATACATTTTAAATAAGATATTTGGAGGAAATATCAACCAACATGAAAAGAATTAAAACTAAAATATGAAAGCTCACAAGTGCATTGTCAACACCATAGCAATCTACATATTTGATTCCTTTCGTGGCCATATCCTCCAATAATCTTGATGATTTCAGAGCTGATTAAGAAATTACATGTCCCCACCAATTAACACCCAGCCGCAGATGGAAACAAGAACACTACTTAAAGCAGTGAAATTGGCAAGTTTGACTAGATTTTGGGAAAAGTACCTGTATATACTCCCCCATTTCCATCGGGAGCTTTAGCCACCTGTTTTGAAAAAATCAAACTAATGTTACCAACTTTTTAAGAAAATCAAATTTAGTACTTCAAAGGAAGCAAGTACCAACAAAAACAATCACATCAGGTTTTCTCCTAATGCTCTCTAAACCAGAACGAATCACTGCCTTGATATATTAGATTCCTCCATTAAACCCTAATAGTCAGAACATAAATGATTGGCTATCTCTGTGGCAAGCAGCAATTGACCAAAATATTTAGTCTGCATCAACTCATTTAGAGAAAGAACCTACTCTGAATGGAGTTTCCATGATAAATCTGCCATCCTTTGAAATGCAGGGTATTGTACCTTGCTGGAAGAAAGTTACCTGTACCATGGAAATACGCTTTAACAAGATAGAGAAAGCCAACAAAAGATTACTACAAGCAAAAGCAAAGAAATCTTAGAAGAACTCACTTGATCTGCTTCGAGACCAAAGAATTTATGACTCTCAAAAAATTTGCGTGTAGCTTCATCGGTGAATGGACTGGTCATTATATACCAATGTATTGTGACTGACGATGCAGCAGAACCTGCAGATGGCAAACTATGGGATGAAATACCAGATGAAGTGTGAACAACTTAAGCTGCAACTAGTATCAAGCTTACCCTCACTCATTGCCAGAGAAGCAAGCCTCTGAACACACAAAATTCGCTCAGCTTGGAGTTGAAAGAGCGACTTTCCCGATGGAAGTCCAATATCTATGACGAAACATGTACAGATAGCAGACTGTTTCAGCTAATAGTATGCAACTTCCAAAATCAATCTCTTTCCTAAAATTTATTCCACTAGAGTTTAGAAGTATAAAAAAAATTAGTCGTGTTGGACAAAATAAAAAAGAAATTAGTTGTTAGATTTCACAGTCAATTCATACACATTTCCAGATGATGGCACCATTCTTTGAGAAATAGCGTTAAAAGAAACTAAAAAATGTGGCATAACATTTCAAACCTAGGAGATGTGACAACAGAAAATGCATAAACTAGTCATGATCAAATATTTCAGGGATTGCTTAAATCTTCATCTGTGTATATGGACTCTTTTGAAGATATTAAGATGCTCATATAGACAAGAGAAGATTTTTAGATTTTCAAGTTAAGGAAGAGAGATCTTTATCTTAAAAGTTACCGGATAAGAAACTAGAAGAGTGTTTCATGTCACTCTAATACTTGTTAATTTTAGTTTATTCATTCTACCAGAACAAGAGGAAAAAGACCAAAGGCAAGTGGAGATCACTCACTGAAACATCCCTTTGGATCTGAACTTCCAAGCCTAGTTCCCTGCATTAATTTCAATAACAAAGCAAGATATGATAAATTAGTCAAACACATACCAAAAAGTAACATAAATTAGACACCCCCTTCATGGATAGACATTATTGTTGTTATATGACGCACAAAGAGTAGAAAAGTTTAAAGACTTGTACATGAATCAATGTAGTAACAACATAACCCATCTTAAAGTTAGCTTTGCCCTAACGAATCAAAACTAAGCAGTTTGCAGAAGTCTAAAATAATCCCTCAACAAACATAATCCTCTAACACCCAAAAAGAGAAGACCACAGGAGAAGAAAATTATGTAAGAAAAGACTTCTATGGTACAAAATATCTTTCAAGTATTGAAGAGCATAAGGATTTTGGTACCGTTAGTTTGGGCTAAACCTATCCAACTTTTTATTGTTTAGACCTGGAGCTAGTACTTTCACTACAGGATAACTTATGACTGTTTTTCAGTATAATAAGCAAAAATGAATTTGTTTGACATACTAGTTTCTTACATATTAATTAAGTTTAAGTTGTATTTGTTTGAATTCGAGTCAAAGTTAAGGAGAAGAAGAGTAGAGAAGCTGGATTCAACAAACCCTTAAATAAATGAGAGCAAAATTTTAGACTAGAAGACAGTCAATAGTAAGGATATGGGATGGAGCAGGATATATGCATTTTGGGCTTGTTTTGGGAAGGCAGAAGTTAGTCTACACAATATATACAAACAGAGAAGTAGGAAATGTTTGTGTGAGCAGCCAGTTGCATGTATGTAATAAGCTGGTAATTATGTGTGTGTGTATATATAATCATGCATTTTTTTTTCACTAAAATGTTCTTCACATGGATAAACATGACATATTTACATGGTTTGTCATCAAGAAGCATTCTCAAGTTCCACGCTTTTCCAATAATAAGGTTATAACAAATTAAAAAAAAAAAACAGGTTCAGTATTATGAAATTTGTTTTCTTTTTCCCAATTTCTAATTAAACATGATAGAAAACATCCTAATGATACGAAAAAGGTACAGAATCCAATAAAGATACTTTTCCCTATATAATTATCATTCTTAGATTAAAGTTGAGCCACTACTTTTCTATAATTAGGTGGACACGTTAATCAAGAAGTTGTCATTAATGAACAACCGATAAGCAACAAGATACCAACAAGAAAGAGAGACATTCTTGATGTAACAACCTACCGGAAGAAGGTGGAAAATAACCATATTATCCAGATACACCTTTATGGTGTTTGCCTATAAGTTATTAGTAAAGAGAAGTCTCTCATTAAACTGTATTATGTATATGCATCATTTTGGACTTGATTATTAAATAATCAAGTGTTCATAGAAGCTAGATAAAGAATCAACGAGAGTAAAAAAAAAAAAAATTAAAAACAACTAATACTAAATCAACACAATGTATGCTGCAAGAAAACATACCACTGAAAGTAGAAAATGCAATAATCATTATTGTAATTATAATAATAACAACTACTACCTGGCCACCGGATAGAAGCAACACAGCCAACTTTCCTTCATAGATAGCCTTCAGTCCCTTTTTCCACCATCTTTCTCTCTCCTCCATTGTTCTCTCTTCCACTGTGGACACGCTACTCTCTGGAACAGGTTCTATGGCCGCCACTGGTAGGGCTGAAAAACACCAATGAAAACACACTAATCAATAAAAGATGAATCCAAGTATGTATTAGTGATAACATATATATGCGTGCATACATATAGAGAGAGGGAGGGAGAGTGTAACCTTGAGATCTAAGTGAACATCGAATGATCCGATCTATTCTCAAAAGATCCAAAGTCTGAAACAAAACAAAATTGGTGTGAATCCCTCAATACCATATAATACAGAATTCTCTTAAGAAATCAACTATTTGACATCAAAATACAATTAAAAATCCTAGGCGAAATGAAAAAAGCTACAACTCCAATCCAATCAAACATGCAATAACCAAATTGAACTCCATCAAACGAGAATAATCACCGAAACACTTTGAAACAATTTAATAGAACCAAGTAGAATTCTCCTTTTGACTGCCGACAAAATGTGGAATTCCAATCAAAAGTGTCCAAGCGGTGAGAATAAAATGGGGATACAAATTACCGTTTATTCCAATACTGAAACACTACAAACAAGCAAGCTTTCAATTGGTTTAATCCAGAGTGAGAGATCTAAGGTAGCGTCAAAATGGAAATGGAAGCGCATGCAATAGAATGATTAATTTTACCTCCATGTCCTTGACGAGAAGGTCGCGCTCTTCGGGGGAGAGCTCATCCCAGAGAGAGAAAGTGTCTTCCTGGCCATAATCCTTGAGCCTCTCCAGCAAGGCCTGCGGTGGCGGTGGCGATGCTCCGTTTTCTCTGTCCATAGTTGGTTCCCTCATTTTCTGTTTCTGAACAGGAACGAAGAAGATGCAGTCTCTGATTCTACACTGTTTCTGCTCTAGATCTCGAGGTCTGGTTGATTTGGCTTAATAGCGGAAGATTGAGAGTGGGAGAGGAACAGTGGCGAGGAAGACAGGCATCAATCAGTGAGTAACAACCAGTTTGTATATAATGTCGAAAATGACATGGGATTAGGATCTGTAATTACTTATCATGCCACCACCGTTGAGCAATCTTTTCTTTAATCGCCAATTGGTTTTGGTTTTATTATTATTATTATTATTATTATTATTAAATTACAAAAATATTGATTACTTTTTGGGTAATACAAGAATATAACTCTAAAAAAATGAATTGTTTTATTCACATTTTAGAATTATCTTACAAAAATATAACATTTGTAAAAATTAATTTAAAAATTGTTACATTAAATAGTCTAAATTAAACTATATAAAATAATAAAATTATCAAAATATCATCAACTCCATCATGTAAATTGCCTATAAAGTTTTGAAAAGATGTTAGAATTTATCTTATCTTTTAAAGCAACACCTTTTCCTATTTTTTTATAAAAATAAATAAAAAACAATAGAGGCCCTACATATTACACATTCAAGGCCATAAAATCCCCACGAGATCTTCTTTAGTGATGTTGATGAGCTATGCAAATGGGCAACAATGGAAATGGAGGCCAGGAGATTCCGAGAAGGTATGGTTTACCAAAAAGTTCGCACAACAGTTCCTTTCTTTGTAGACATATTGAATCTGCTTCGTCAAGTTTCTATCCAGTCGAAGTTTTAATGTTTGGATCAAGTTGGAACTAGTATTGATACGAATATGCTCACTGCGAATCACTCTATTTAGGATTTAGACGACAAGCAAGTTGTCCATCTCAAGAATGATTTTGTGCACACCCAAGTTCCAAACCGTCTAGAGCACCTCAAAGCTCTGCCTACAAAATAGAATAAGTACCAATGTTTCAGTTGAAACCCCCCAACCAATGGTGATTAACATCCCAACCAAGGCCGCCAACACACGCCTGATTTTAGCTAACATAAAATGTCCCATCATTATTGATTTTAATTTAGTCCTGGTTAGGGGTAGACCAATTAATAAAAGTCTTTATTTTCTTATAAGGGTGACCATTGATAATAACAGCAGTAGAGGTGGCTTGGTAAGTGCAGTCAATCATCCGAAAGGTAGCTTATTTCATTTCGTATACACTTCAAGGGTCTCCACCCGATTGGTTCTTTTAGTTTCAAAGAGTCTAAAAAGTGATCCCAAACATGATATGCCAGTCACCAAAAGTTGGAAACCAGCTTAAGTGGTTACGCAGATTTTCAATGATCCAATCGTCGAAGCTAAAGGTGAAGAAGGTAGGCACTGCTGTGGGTGGAAGAAGTAGCATCTAGAGTTATTTCACATGATAGCAATCTCGTAGCACATGGTTGATGTCTTTGACCTCCTATCCGCGGACCTCACATCCTGACTCAATGGTCATGTGTCGTCTAGCCCGTTCACCATTAGTGAGGAGGCTGTTTCGTAGGACCAACCAGAGAAAGTGCTTGACACGCTGAGCACCAGGCCATTTTCATGCAAGGTCCCAACTCTCACCTACATCAAAAGATAAGATTTTTAGTAAGCATATTATAAGTAAATTTAATCAAAAAATTACTACTAGATGATAAGCCCCAGTGGGGCTCATCTAGTCCCATATCTCTATTTTACACTATTATAGCCGCCAACTGGAGAAGGATATAGGAAGCATGTTGCACAACAAACTCCAATCCCACTGTCCGTCTGAGATGATGAGGTCCTTAACACATTTGAATAGGAGAGGTTCCTCCACAGGTTGGAAGGTCAAAAGTTTAAGGGGCCCACAATCTTCTAACCAATTGTCCTTCCAGAAGTGCGCTTTAATGCCATCACTGATATGTTAACTAATCCCATTCCATAACTCTTCCTAAAGCCCATGAAGATGTCGCCAAAGGTGGAAACAACCTTTTAGTTATGTTGTATTCATGGGGTCATTATCATAATTATACTTATGTCTCAAAATATGTACCCAAAGTAGGTGAGGCTTAGTGATAATGGTAAAGTCCACTTTTATGAGAAAGACTCTATTAAGTTCTTTGAGCTAGAGGAGGCTCACTCAGCCATTGGAGCGACGACGCATGGTATCCCAATTAACTAGGCTCAGTTTCTTGATCTTGCTAGAGGAGCCCTATATAAAATTTCATAAAATGCCATCAATTTTGTCACACAAGGAGGTGGGGAGAGAAGTAGTCTACATTGTATAGGTAGGAACCGCCATCAGGACTGACTTTGCGAAGGTGAGGCGGCATGCTATAGAGAGCAGATTAGCCTTCCATCTTGAGAGTTTACTTCGCGCCTTATCAAGGATATATCTATATGTTACTTTCGTCACTTTGTTATGGAGGAGAGGTACACCCAAGTAGACACCCAGGTTGCTAAAAGCTTGGAAACCAAATGCATTGTTGATGTTGGCGGCCTTATTAGTCAGTACATTATGCGAGAAGAATATTCAAGTCTTAGTAGCACTTATTTTATGTCCTGAGCTCTCACATAAAGCATGAAGTCTCTTTGATCAGCTGTACTTGAGAGTCTGTGGTCCTGTAAAAAAGGATAAGGTCATCCACAAAGAAAAGATGTGAAAGCTTAGGGTTGTGTTTGCTCAAAGTAATTAGGTGCTGCTTATCATCATGGGTCAAGTTGGTAATATACTGGGATAATCTCTCCATACAAAAAATAAAAAGAGCACGAAACGGGATCGCCTTAGCGGATACCTCGGAAAGGGATGAACTCCTCAAAGACTTCCTCATTCCAAACAAGTTGCATTAAACAAGAGCTAATATAATGCATAATGAGGTGGATCAGGGGCTCCGGAAGCCCCACATTCCAGAAGATATCCTCAATGAAGTCCCACTTGAGTTTATCATATGCTTTTTCTATATCTACTTTAGTTGTCATCCAACTTTTTTTTCCTTTCTTCATCCTCATTGAATGGATGACTTCCTGGGCAAGAATAATGTTATCTGCTATGTTACATCCCTCCACAAAGTTTGTTTAAGTATTACTTATAAAGTTGGGCATAATGTCTTTAAGTCTGTTGGTCACAATTTTTGTGATGATTTTGAAGGAAATGTTAAGCAGACTTATCGGTTTAAAATCTTTGACATATGTTAGTCGAGCAACTTTGGGAGTCAACGTAATCAGCATTTTGGTAAGACCCTTCTCCAAGTCCATACTGTGGAAAGCCTTTAATGCCATGTCATAAATAGAATCTCTGACTACATCTCAATGTTGTTGGAAGAAAGCGACCAATAATCCAATAGCCCCGGGTACTTTAAGGGGCTTCACGGTAATTAAGATGATATGTATCTCATTGTGAGATTCCAGTTTATTTAAATTTCCAAGCATAATAGGTGTTAGAGACAGGAATCATCCTCTCACAGAGTATTTGTGAGGTAGTCGGTCATTTTTAATGTAGAGAACTTGGAAGAAACTCACACCATATTCCTTAGATCATTTTCATCCATAATCTAATTGCCCCTATTGTCTTAAAGTATTACTATTTTATTCCTCTATCTCTGTTCCATGGCATGGGCATAGAAGTATGTTGTATTCCTATCGTTAAGAAAAATATAGTCATACCTAGCTTTTTACATCCAAAACATCTCCTTTTGTAACAAGATCTCTTCTAGTCCTTTACGGAGAGAGTGCTTAAGTGCAATGAGATGCTTAGATTGCGATCTCTCAAGGGCATTTGGGATCCCGACAATTCTAGTTAGGATGTTCTTTTTTTAAAAAAAAATATGCCCAAAGATAGTGGCATTCCATTCGCAAACACGGTGAGAAAAATCCTCAACCATGGTTTGGAAAGAGGACTATTTGTTCTAATACCTTTAGACCATATCAAGGAAGTCCAGATGGTGAGCCAGGCCACGAGAAATTTGAAGGGCAGGGGATTCCTCCTTTGAGTAGGGCATGTTATAGTCCTCACAATGAGCGGTCTGTGGTCTGATTGAAATTTGGGTAGGTATTGCATAATCGTTTCGAGAAAGTAGATATATCATGCCTGCGTACAGATAACTTTGTTTAGTTTTTGAAGTAAGATCCCTCTCTGCCATATAAAGTGCAGCCCCATATAATCAATCTATAAAATTGAGTTATCATGCATGAAGTTATTAAAAAAAGAATTATCAATGTTACATCCCCTCGCACCGCCACTTCTATCTGAGTATTCCAAGATAGTGTTGAAATTGCCCACTAGCAACCAAGGGTCCGTGGCGGTCAGGTTTAGCTAAGATAATGCCTCCCACAAGTATTTGCGTCACTGCCATTAAGGGCTCCTGTAGGGCAGTGAAATATATACTAGGCTCCTTAAAATCCTGAATAATTTTAGTATGAATGAACCAGCAGCTATTACCCAAACTTCTAACAAATTGAATTGTTCCATATAAGCCATATTTTCTCCAGAGAACGATGCCTCTACTCT